GATCCTAGTCAGATCTCAGTTTCTCCATATTTACCCTTAGTAGCTTCTGATCACTGTTTGATCTCTCTAAAACTATTATCTGATTCTTCTTCATTATCAGAATACCATTATCATTGTACCTCTTAAATCTGACTAGGTCTCTTTCTGTGATTTTCTTCATTATGGCTCTTGGGTAGAATTTTTTTTATCTTTCTGCTAATAAATGTGCTTCTTATATAACTTGTTGGATTCAGGCTTATATGGAATCTTTTATTCCCTCTCGACGATTCCAAGTCAAACCTCACTTTTCTCCATGGTTTGCCTCACATTGTGCTGCTGCAATATCCAATTGAAACCATATCTATCAGCAAAAAAATTCTCCAGAAAACAGACGTCTGTTTATTATTGCTAGAAACCATTATAAAAAGTTTTTTTTCAAAATCCGCAATATCATCTCTTGATTTCACTAGTCGCGTTCTATCTGATATAGCCGACAAACAGGTTAATCCATTGCCTGACCTTCGTATCACTTCAGCTTTTGTATTTAAATTGATTTCCTTCTTAGACTCTTCTACAGCTTGTGGTCCGGACAACATACCTGTTATAGTCTTGCAGAAATGTTCTCCGGAGCTGTCTTCAATACTTTCAAAACTATTTAAAAAGTGCTTATTGGAGTCTAGTTTTACGGCATGCTGGAAAGCGGTATATGTTATCCCTATTTTCAAAAATTCTGGAGAGCGATCTAATTCGTCTAACTACCGTCCCATTAGTCTTCATTCTATCATAAGCAACCTTTAGTTAACAAACACTTAATCTCTCAACTTGAATCTAATAACTTACTTTCTGATCATCAATATAGATTGAAAAAATCTTGTTCTACAGCCGATTTACTAACAGTAATAACCGATAGGTTTTATCGTACATTAGATAGAGGTAGAGAAATTAAGGCTATTGCTCTTAACATTTCTAATGCTTATGATAAAGGTTAGCATGCAGTTTTTCTCCATAAGCTTTCTTCTTACGGTGTATCTGGTAACATAAGGATTATTAAATCCTTCCTTTCTAATCGTAGTATAAAAATTGTCCTTGATGGACAGTACTCTTTTTCTTATCCTGTAACTTTAGGGATTTTTCAAGGTTCAATTCTTGGCTCTTTACTCTTTTTAATTTACATTAACAATACTATCATTTATTCTTGTCATAATAAATCCTTTTTCTGTGACTGTTCCTAAGAGCTCCAAAAACTCTTATTCCTCTAGTTTTTTTTCCTCGAACATCAGTTCTTTGGAATTCGCTTCCTTCATCTTGCTTTCCTGATTCATATAGCTTGTAGTCTTTAAAGTTATCTGTCAATCATTATCTTGCTCTATAAACTTCATCTTTTCTCGTCCAGTAACTTCCAACTATAGTAGTGGTTGCTCGCAGTCTTGTTGGAATTGAAGGTGTTGAGAAAAAAAAAAGAAAAAGACAAAAGCTTTTTTATGCTAGGTTTTAAATACAAACCATTACTTATTGTAAATATATTAAAAAAAATTTGAAAGCTTAAAAAATTTTTTTTTATAAATATAAAATATATTAAAAATTGAATGTCTACAAATACGTAATTAAAGTATTAAACTTTAATTTCATAACAAATTATTATTATTTAAATAAAATTTTTTCAATGTTTTTTAAGTATTATGTTTTTACCGACTATCCAGTCATGCATCTAGTTATATTATTACGTCATTGTATATAACTGTTTTCAATCTCTCTATGAAGTGTTGCAATACTTAATACGTTTGAGCAGAAGTCACAAGTTTAACAACATCGATGTACAACGATGTTGGTAAATTTTAAAATTGACCTTTGGAGTTTGACGCTGGCTTAAGTTAGATTATATAGACTGGAACAAGGATGATGAAGCTCGGATGAGGATGATAACAATTTAATTTGATTAAATTATTATCATCCTCATCTGAGTGTATTAACTTTTGAAGTAAAAATAAATTGTTAAATAAAAGTTAAGTGTATTAACTTTTGAAGTAAAAATAAACTGTTATTATGTCTTTCGTACGAGAAGATGGAGTACAGCCTAATCTGATGGTTAACTTGACTACTGTTTTATGAAACCATAAGAATCGTGAGCGCCATTCTTGTTCGGTAGTAGTTCAGTTTAGCGGAAACAAATGACGTGGATTTGTAAATGCTACATAACCACCGACTATTAAAATGGCACCTGCAAACGTTTTGCATAATCTGCATGAGCAGCCGTGGGGCAGTGGTAGCGCAATTGCCTCAGAATCAAAGAATCCGTGGATTAAACCCCACCTCTGGTCAAGTTTTGCGACATCGGTTAGGAAGGAGGCGTGACCTTCCTATTAAATGCTCATCCCCGACACTCTAAGATAATAATAATAATAATAATAATATATATATATATATATATATATATATATATATATATATATATATATATATATATATATATATATATATATATATATATATATATATTAGGGTAGGCCACAGTCCCACATAA